TCAAGTACTGGCTTATCACGTTGTGACACTTGAAGCTTCATTAGTTAGCACTCAAAACAGAACAGAATAGATACCTAAAATACAAGCCATTTAGTTCTGACATTTTGTTCTCCAAACCTGTGTTCAAATGCAAGAGCTCGTAAATCTACATTTAATTCACTCATTGGTGTATCCGGCAAAGCGAGCCATAACAAGATTATTGTATTATATAAGTGTGCATAATCATGGTGAGAATCCTCGTTTAATGATTTAGAAAATATAATAACCTATGTAAATTCTCTTAAAACCTGCTAAACAAGATAGATACATAATTAAGTCTATCAGTGTTCAACCATCCGTATGTAAACATAAACCATATACACAACGTTACCTCAAGTATACAAACCCGCTCTTCGAAAGGAATGGATTGACAAAAAAATTCCAGGAGAGACAAAAAATGTGGTTTCTTTTTGAATTAGCTGATCTCGTACATGGAAGTCAGAAAATCTTAGAAATTCAGTATCCGATGTGTAGCCTGTTGAGCAAGGTGTCCCTCAGAGATCTCTATTATATATCTTTGTTATTTAATTTATATGTAAGTGATTTGTCCAGGGGCATATAACTATGTTTGCAGATGACACCACAATTACTATATCTGCAAAAAATGTGAATCACCTTCATACCAAAATTCAACGGATATTGGATAAATTTTCATCCTGGTGGCAAAGAAATTGGCTAATCCTAAATTCAAATAACACTATTGTTATAAATTTTAAAATCCATCGCATAATTTATATAGAATTGTAAAAAATTAAGTAAAGCATTTTTTGCTATATTGCACGTAAAGGATTTTTTAAGCGAAAAATTCCTAGTTAATAGGTATATATATATATATATTATGCACTGGCTTATAGTCACATGGTATGAGGGAAATCATGTGAAATTGAGAGAGTATTTGTAGCACAAAAAAGAATCATCAGATTAATTTTCAGAATGAAGCAACTTGACTCCTACAGAGAAATTTTGAAGTCAAGGGAAATTCTTATTCTGTATTGCACTTACATTTTATAATGCTTAACCTCTGTTAAGAAATATAGTTGTTTATTTCCAAATATTGTTTATCATGAGCGCAAGACAATAATTCAAAATTTGAAAATAGTCTGGAAGCATAATATCACTTATTTCAAAAAAAAACTCAATCACATCTGCGATGTATTATTCAACAAATTACCAGTTAAAATTCAACAAAATTAGTAATTATATTTCATTTAAGACATGTTAAAAAAATTCATTTTACACTGTAGCTGAGTACTTGGGATATAAGAATCTGCAATCGAGTAGATAAGGATGGTACCAATAATTATTCATTAATTGATATGTATTGTTACATTTTTATTGATTATTATTGTTTTGTATTACATTTTTGTATCAAATGGTTATGAATAAATAAATTCGTCAGAAATAGAATAATATTTCAAGAAAATCAGTGATATAGGAGATATTTTTTTCTTATTCCGTAATGTCAAAGTATCGTAGTACCGCCTCGAGAAATGTCTGTCGTGTGTTTCAAATTCGCACCATTGGGATCTCGGAAACATCAAGAGATACGAAGTCGCTTAAGTAGGAGTAAAGTTACGCCTTCAGGTAACTAGAAAAATCCTAGGAGATAGATGAAAGAAATCGAATTTTTACAAAACCGTTGTTGTTTTTTCTGACTTTGCTTGAGATAGGATTCCAAAGCAATAAGTACATTAACATTGTCACTTTTTCTCCACTACAAGGCTGCATCATTAGAATTTCAGTACAAATTTCTTTCTCAAATAAAGTCATTTTGGCAAATTTTGGTTTCTTTTATTTATCTCCGAAAACACTCGGAATTGCGAAACGTTTTAAGTGCCATTTTCATACTGATCTAAATAGTTACCCCAATGGTGAGAGTTAAATTTGAAACACCCGATATAATATTAAAGCATAAATCTCATCACCTTTCATAATATATACCTTCTTTGCGCACTTGCGTTTTAAAAACTAAATTTGGAAGTGAAGCATAATATCTCCACCTCATTGAGTTTTGTACCGTGAAATTTCATCTACATTTATAATACCTGATTATTCAGTGGTAATGCTAGATTAGATAACTTTCGATTGGTTTTAAAAGTTGCTCAAGAAATAAGTAATAGATCTTATCAGCATTTGTATGCTTATCCATGTGAGACAATATTTCAACTGGTACAATAACAATTATTTAACGATTCGTTTGAATTTTGAAGTTGCTGACTGCTTTAATTTCTTCACGATGGCTTCAGTTGAGAAAGGAGTAATGGATACCATGCCGTAGGTTTAGCCATCCTTGGGGCAGCTTGTCGCGACCAGAATGTAGTTATAAGGTTGATATAATCTTGTGAAAGCCAATGAAACGGTTTACCAACGTTTGTCGATGGCACAGTAAATCCTCGAATGGAACCCAAACTGGACTTCAAAACTAAATACAATTGTGCATAATGTTCAGTACATAGACAGTAACCTTGATAATTTTGTGGATAAAAAAATAGCGTTAAGTAGATTGACTCTATACTTCCTACGCCTTCGTTGGAGGTTTCAAAGAAAAGGCTACGATGAATCTTCGACCTCTGTATCAAACTATATAAAGCAAATCTATCATATTTCTGTTTCCAAGGTAGATGTAGGGAAAATATGTGTGACTTACCATGTCTAACAGATGCATAGTATTAATGAGATCAGCAGCTTAACAATAGAATATCTTTCACTGACACCAAATATGAGACAGTTGACAACTATTTGCCGCATATAGTTTCCCACCTACAATGCCTCAAAATCGTTGTAACACTATGTTCCAGCGATTTTATTTCCGCCGCCTCTGAATCATTTTTCAAAATCTACGACTATCTGAATGATGGAAGTATTAAAATCGCGATAATATTCGAATTTCGGTTCACAAGTTTTCTGTTGCTTAAAGGTATTTGTATCACACAAGTCCTTGTGTCTCATTTATGTCGGTTTGCCAGTGCGTGTCTGTTGTATATCAATACGTCATAAGCGTTGAGTCAATCTACTTGACGAAATATTCAGAGAACCATTATTGTAGGAGTAACTCAAATTAGGCAAAATGGTGGTAAATTTAAGGAACAAAATTCAGAAACATGTATGTCCGGATATAAAAACAATTAAATCATCCTTTACAGAAGCGTCGTAGAACGCTAAACAGCAACGTCCTCCCAATATCCAAATATTGCTAAAATATACAAATATTCTCCTGTAGCGGTGTGTCAGTGACGACGCGATATGTTTTTTCCCCTAGCTCCGCCACTTCTACACCGATTTACAGAAACTACAGCTTTTCGATCCTTGGCATGGTAATAACCTTGTGTGAAGGTTTCTTCAAAATCCAAGCGGTACTTCTCAAGTTATAGGCGGTTATAAAACTAGCGGAAAGACCGACAGACGACAAATCCACGGAAATGAGTGACATGGGCTTTCGGGTTGTACATGTCATATTATAGCATTCAAAAAACATAATACCTAAATTTTGAATTTTTTTAAAATTACAATACATCCTAGCCAGTTTTGGCACAGGAAGCATGCATGATGCATAGCATGGAATGGAGCGTCTGTATGTTCCCTTTATTTGTCTTAAACTGATAATGATTATTTAGTGATTGCACGACTTAGACAAATTAAACTAAAATGATTGGCAAGCTTTATTTTTTCATCTATAAAAAAATGTACTTAATGTTTCCTTTTTGGGGATGTTGGAGAGATTTGACATGAAGCAATAGACCACGGAGAAACGAATCAAAATTTCCTACTTGCATAATGCAGCTAGTTCAATTTAAGGCTTGCGAGCACTCAGTAGAAACTTTTTGGCAGGACAGGATTGAACCTTTCTTTCTTTTTCCCTTCTTTGACCCTGACTTTGTTTGGTATCTGGGTATCCAAACCTTACAGACCTTCTGACTTACAATACTTCAACCAAAGGCAAAGGTCCTACGGAACGATCTGACAGACAGTGACGAATAGGGGTATTGAACCTTCGGTGTGCTACTGACGGAGCTATTAAGTGATTAAGCGCGAGTTTTCAAGAAAGTCCAGTTTGCATTACTATCGTTCAAAATCGAATAATACAGCAAGACTTTTTGATGAAAGCTGTGAAAAATTATCTAAGCCTGACGGATAGAGCGGCTCTGCTAAGGTGATTTTTGAGAATCACAATTCCCCTTTTTTTGGACGAAAGGCAATTCAAATTAACATGCGCATTTACCAGATTCATAACCCATTTGAAAAACAAATTTCGTAATGGAATCATAGTTATAATACCAGTAATCCCACGGAAGATTATGAAAAACGCTTCTCATTAGTATTATTTTTAAAACAATTATTACTCAGTAACTTTGGTAAATTGTGGAATAATCTACGTGAGGAAGCTTTCCCCAGTTCTACGAAATATTAGGCAGTTCAAAAATCGGATTAATAAAGTTTCTTTTAGCTCATCATAGCAGCAACGAAGCACGGGCTTTTAGACTTTTGCCTGCGCGGCTGCTTCTGTGTAAAAAGTAAACATTGAAACACAACCTTCATATTGCGCCATCTTGTATTCTCTTCGACCACTAAATGATTAGATGATAACGTGCCCTGATATGCTACATAAAATTATGGATTAAAAGGTACCTTGTCGTTATTGAAGTTATATCATTTTGAGAGGTACATCACTTTCGGAAATGGAAACATAAGCTCTTAAGGCAGTCTGCCACGATACAACATTTTGTGCTAAATTTAGATCGCTTAATTTCGTACCTAATTAAGGATAGTGTCAGATAGCATTTAGTACATAATTTTGCATAAACAAATTGAGTGGTAATTTTTTTGGAACCTGTCATGCTAAAAGATCACAGACCCCTATCACGCATTTGGAGGACTACAATGGCTGATAGAGACGCTACGTGACAAGGAATTACTTACATATTTTGTGTTAATTCCATGGCAGTCTCTTGATGTTTTGTGATGATTAGATGAGATGATAATTGCTTGACAAAAACAAGCCTAACTTCAAGCACTTTCATCAGTTGTTGTTATCATTGTGTTCATCAGTTTCGCTGAATGTTGTTTTACGTGTAGATTAGAAACTTGAAAGGTATCATGGTCAAAATAGCAGGGTGACATACTACTACAAGAGTATGGGAAATATGACTGTTTATATGCTGTAAAAAGCAAGGCCTATAAAAACAGAAACGCCAAACAAGTTGCGTTGGATAGAATCCGAATGACTTTAGAACCAACTATGCCTTTAAGCCAGTGTACCCTCCAATAGAAGTTCTTCATTCAGCATCTGGAGCACACACATTCCTGGGTCACTTCGCTTTTTTCGTGAGGATGGGAAGCTACACCGCAGATCTTTGTGGATCGCTCCATTTTCTGCAATTTTCTATTCGTTCAAAGTGATAAGGTAGCAAGCCGCAATGAAAAGTGTGGTTAGTATGACTTTGAGTGATAAATAGAAGTTTAAAGTTGACAGTTATAGTTTATTTCTACCGACTGGCTGAACATGATTTCGTATGAAATTTATTAGAAAAATATAGTTATGTGACAGACAGGATTGTAGTTGGAAAATAAATTGGGAGCTAAATTCAACGAAAGAAAGGGACCAAATTTGAGATACTTTTTTTTGAAAAGGATAAATAAAGTACTTGCTGTTTTAAACGAGCGTATATTTTTAAATAAACTTGCGACTTGATGCTCCTAGCATACTCTAAAATAAAAGAATAATATTAAATGTATTTTTTTACAGACAAAAAGTATATATTAAAAAAAGCAAATATTTTTGTTAATTTACACCTGGCTCCCTAAATTGATATGCTATTCAAAAAATCCCTTTCTTTTGCAGAAAGTGCAAATGAAAATTTTATTGGTAATCTCTTCACAATCTGTATGTGCCCATCTATAACAATGTCTGTATTTTCCCCTTCTTATCTTCAGAAAATCGACTCGTACAAAATTAACATTCAGCATCGCTTTCATGTTGCTTTCATCTGAAGATGAATCATCCAACTTAAGGCTTCCGCTGCATTCTGAACTTGAACTGGAGGGGGAAGGTATCTATCCGGATCATTTTGAGGCTTTTAAATAATCCATCTCCTTACTCTTGTGTTTCCAGGCATCTGCATCTTGATACAGGGCCCTAATTTGAGATAGTTTCAAATTAGGAAAGCTTGGGTATCTCAAATTAGGAATTTTCCGTTAAAAAGTTTACACAAGCATATTTCGGTTATACACCCAATAAAATCGCAATATCGTAGAAGAAAATAAATAAGGTATTTATAAACTACTAAATTTATATCAGACAACTGTTCTAAATAATTTACCTTAATTTAAGCAATCACGTTTCTCGCACTATTAAAAATATGTTTAACTCTCAAGAAGTAACAAGTTGTGATGTCACAGCAAACCATGTGCAAAACTGAACTGTAAACGCATTTTTCCCCAAAATTTGATACCGAATTAGAAACAAAATCTTATGACAGACGGCCTTTAGCGTGTTAGGACAAAAAACTATAAAAGAACTTTGAAATCACTGCCATCATATTCCATCTGTAAACGTAAATGTTTAAGTGTATCATGAAATAATATCGACAGGTGGCATTTTTGATGTGATATCGGTTGATAACGGGTCCAGCCATTACAGATACTGGTACTGTATGTGGGGCACTTGGTATAATACATTTAAATGAGCAATTATCGAGAGTTGACTGTAAACTGCCAGATTTTTTGCATATACAGGTATCGAGAACAGGTTATGTATTACTTTCAAACAGTAATTGTATAGCTGTACTTAATGTAAGTAGTTGTTGGCTGACCTAAACAGAATAATTTGAACAATGTACCCGAAATAAAGGTTTTTTTGTTTAGTATCAAGTTAAGTAAACATTTCATCAAAATTGTTTTTAAATATGGCTTCTCTGTCTTGGAGGTTCAGCAGATAATCTAAGAACCGTGCGCAGTGCAGGACTAAAAATACTCCATCCTGGTTTTAGGGTTTTCGAAGTATAAGCTAGTAAGAAGGGTGTGTCTTGTCAAAAATATTTCACGAATGTGGAAATGCTAAAATCTGAAATAAAAAATTATCTATGGTAAAATCTATACCCGCGTTCATTTATCACTATCATAACTTTCGTTACATAAGACTAAAGGACATTCAAATTAGGCCATGATATGAATAGCTATGAAGGTAATACCAGATATATCGTGCATATTAATGAGAAAATATCAGAACGTGAACATTTATGATACATACAGGGTGGTGAATGATGTAACGTTTGGAACGCATTCCTCTTTGTCTCAAATGGAGTATTTATCGTATTTTGGTGAACAACTTATTGTACGCCCAGAACCGAGTTCGACAAGATTGGCACCTCACAAATTGCAAGTAATCTGAAATTGGTCCAGTAGAAAGAAATTCGTCATCAGAGCTGCATTGTAATACGAAAAATATCCTATGCCAATGACGGACAAGCTCTGTAATTTTTGAAAATCTAACCAGTGACAGCGGAGAAAAAGGACAATTTTTTGATGTTAGCACATTTATTCGCTCCTAACCCCGGTAATTCTACGCGCCTATTAGCCATACTTCACACATCACTGGTTTCTCCAACATATGTCTTTTAAATTTGAATGATAGAGAAATGTTTTAGATGCGCGTAGCCTTCTGCTATCTGGGCTCAACGCGCGGCGTAACAGTCTGCTTGATTGTTCTGCTCGTACTAATGTCTACAGACTAATTGTATGGGCTTGTTTGGCTGACTCGGTGCGTTTAATTTCTCAATTGTCACATGTTCGTAACTAATTGTTTCTCAGTGAATTTACTTGTGCTGATCTTAATCCTTAACTTGAGATGGCGTTGTGTAGGAAGACTCAACCTTCTTGGTGTCATCTTGTTCAATGAAACTTATTTATACGGTGTATTAATTGTTTAGCTAATTTTCAACTCCTTCTATTTTACGAACTATGTCACATAATATTCATACCACGGATGAAGACTGTTGTTAAAAGCAAAAAGGTGTTTATCAAAAAGTAACCAGTTTACATTAAAGCGTACTTGTTGATTGATTTTTGCAAAGCTATTGTGAAGGAGTGCATAGCACACAAAGCAACAAATTATCTATCTCAACCCTAGTCAACGAATGAAAGCACAGATGATGAAATAATAACTTCATTAACGTTTCGGTCGTGTTTTCCAAGGAAAAAAATTGAAAAATGGTAAGGGTTGTTGAAGGTGAAAACAGGATTGACAAGTTTATCATTATTTACACGAATCCCTGGGTGTAACAGAATTTGATTTTGCCGTTAGGTACATACGAGTATATAAATTATGCAAAGTATGATCAGCATTTCATGTGCATTGTATTAGGTTGGGAGTTGATATACCAGAAATAATACTTTCTCACCCCAAAGGCGCAATATCTCATGCTTTGTGAGAAAGGAATGCGGCATCATGTATCTTTCTTAAAGAATAATCAACCACAGATGACAATATATTGGGAAAACAATCGCTATTTAACTTCATGGTTTTATTATATGCAGTAAGTCAAACACGGATCATACGTTTCTTGTTTGAGTAATTTAATCAGCAATTGATTTTCCTGTGTCTTTTTATAAACTAACTCTAGACTAGAGGCATCATTTAAATCATTTTAAGGAATAATTAACAGCATCTATGAACTCTAATAATATTGAAAAAGTGCAAAAGAAATGTCTGAAATATCTATGCTAAAGAAGTGATGGTGTCTATTCTTCAAGAGGATATGACTACTCATTATTAGTGAACAAATCTGGAGTCCTTTCTTTGGACATGCGTCGATCATATTTTTATACAAATTACTATATGGTAACATCAACTGTCCTGTTCTGCTATCGCAAACAGATTTGCTGGTCCCTAGATTAAAATCCAAATATAAAATCCCATTTTTCTGCAAGAGGGCACAGACTAATGTTCTGTCTAACGTACCAATAAACTTTCCGTGCAATAACGCGGATAGGATTGGGCATTTTTGTGATATCTTCTGTTGTGGATTTAAGAAGCGCTATACGCTCACATCTTTGACTTTTTTACCCTTTTCTGTAGAAGTTTTCGTTTGTTATATATTAAGTGTTTATAATTTAGTTTTATATTCTTTTTTGCTATTTTCTATTAATCATCTTCACAATTTATTTTCTCTCTACTTAAAGCGCCTTTTTGTGTTTTTTTTTCACTTTATAGCATGCAGACTGTGTAAATTCAATCATTGTACTATGTATTGCTCTCTAAATGGTATCTAAACTGTTGGCCAATAAATGTTTTTTATTGTTATTATTGTAATTATTATTATTACTATTATTATTATGCTAAAGAGCTTTTGCACTGTGGTGTTGATGCAGCACTTCTACGTACCTAGCCGCTACTTTCTTGATCTAGACGATAACCAGAGGGATATTCAAATCGCAGTGAATATGCCTATTACAAACATACTAAGGGACGTTGATCATATTCTTCGGGACCCTATTTTGGAATATTTTGAATGATAATAGTGGCACCACCATATCATCGGAGCCAAACGGCAAATACTCAGGTGCGATCCTTGATATCAGGCTCAAGTGGAAGCACCAAATCAAAAAAGAGGGAAGAACTGAACCTCCGCTAGAATAAACATCATGTATTATTGGGAAGACCTCGAAGATCAGATTTTAGCACCTAGGCTATAGGTTTGTGAAATTAAAAATGATGGATTTAGTATATACAAGAAAAGCTTATAATTACGTTTTGTCGACAACTTCTTCGTTTATTTTTTCATATATCATCATGTTTTGACCAGATGAATCGTCAAAATAACATCGCTCAGCTATATACGTCAATCTTACTTAGTTAACTGTTTCAAACCATCTACAATCGTCAGAAGTTATTTGCCATATCAAGGATTTTATCTATACAGTTTCCTTTATTCAATTGACTGACAATATGATTTTTTATGGAGGATGTTATTAACCGTCTTTCTTAATTTATGCAGCCCACGGTGGTGTCTTGCTTCACGGCGGACCATCTTGCCCAGAGGAACATGGAGTTCAAGCATATGCCCATCCAGAATCATGCAATCTCTTTTTCCTTTGTACCAATGGTACACTGACAGTTGAGACGTGCGAAAATGGATTATTGTTCGATGGAAAAGGTGCTGTTCACAACCACTGCAACTACCATTGGGCCGTGGATTGTGGACATAGGAAAGCCGATCGTAAGTACATGTTTCTCAACTTAAATCTTAGAAATAGGGTTCATGAAATCGCTGGAACATTTCAATAAAAAAACTGAGATCATTTTGGTCAAACTTCATCATGGCTCCCCTATAGGAGCTACGAAATTTTAAAACTACCTGTACATTCGTATCATGATAGGATAGGATATTTAATATAATTAAGCTGGTACTGTGAAGCTAGCTGGCTCTTTTTGCATTTGCTTGTTGTTCAAAAAACCTATAACTGCAGTAGGTACTCATTATCAACTGTTTATTCTTGAAATTACGTTGCCTGATCAGTCGCCGTGCGCTGTGCGGGTTCGAGTCCCGTCCCAGGAGAAATTTTTCTCTTGGCTATGGATGTTGTGGTTGTCCGTAGGTGGTAGACGGTCTCTGACTGTCGAACGTGGAGGTACCACCCGGCGGATCTCGTAGGCGGAGCCAGAATGTGTGCATGTTGCATGCACACGTGTTCCCTTGCCAGAGTCCGTGTGGCGTTCCCCCTTTCCCCTGTATCCCCCTATAGCCCCACGGTACCCAATGAGTGTTTAGGCCTTAGGCCTTCGTGGCAGTTGGAGTATAAAAAAAAGTTCATTATCCCGTTATTTCGAAATTTCACAAAATTGCAAATATCTCCTGAACTATAAAATTTTGGACAACATATATAGGGGTTCATTCGATAGAATTTGAGGTCCTCGATCACCTGACTTCCGTTGATCTACTACTAATTTTACACCCTGTAAAAACAGTATTTTTTTATTTTCACATATTAAAAGGTCTCAGTCGAAACTACCTATCGCTTCACCATGTCACTCACGGATCACCCTGTATGAGAGTTTGTTAATAAAGAGGGCAAAAGTCTTCAGTTTGGCGATCCGGTTGACCTAAAGATCTATGGACATAAACTTATATACTAAGTGACATATAAATCCGAACACCCAGTTTAACTGGTTTTATTTTAATAAAAGTTGGTGAATGTATTTATCTTACTGTAAATAACAAGTGAAAAATTTTCAGCCTTATCAGTTGGACATTCCGGTTTTTATACTCTTTTTTTTTAATTCACTAACGCTCTAAAAATGAATATTTCAGCCGCAGTAAAGAATCAACGTTGGCGGATTTTGGTTCTTAACATCCTTTACGATCGGTTACGATGCCTAGAGTACGGAGACCGGTACGATTTCGTCAACTTAGTGAGTTTGATAGGGGCCGTAGTGGGACTTCGGGAAGCTGGACTTTCTTTTCGGGCAATTGCAGTTAGAGTGCAAAGAAGAGACTGTGGTTAGGTGTTGTCAGGCATGGCTTCGAGAAGGCCGTACGCAAAGAGCAAGGGGCATTGGACGCCGCCGTAGAACAACAGACCGCGAAGATCGCCGCCTAAGGTTATTGGCCTTAAGGACCGTTTCTCCACTACCAGGTCCATTGCAAATGAATGGTTTGCAGAACAGGGAAGACCTATTGGCATGCGAAGTGTTTACCGACGAATGAGAAGTTTTGGCTTGTTTTCATACCGGCCACACTGGGTCCTCCCTTTAACTCAAGAACACCGACGTAATCGCCTTGAGTGGTGCAGACAACGATCACTCTGGGATCAGGAATGGAACAGTATTGTCTTTAGTGACGAGTCTCGATTTTGTTTAGGCATGCACGATGGTCTTGCCAGGGTTAGAAGGCGACGTGGTGAAAGGAGGCATCCACAGTTTTTTGTTGAAAGACATGTTCATCACACTGTTGGAGTTATGGTTTGGGGTGCTATAGCTTATGGTTCCAGGTCACCTTTAATCTTCATCAGAGGTAACATGAACGCGCAGCGTTATATCCACGAAGTTCAAGAACCCCATCTTTTACCCTATCTTGACACCCTGGCAGATCCAACTTTCCAACAAGATAATGCCCGACCACATGTTGCAAGAGTCACAATAGACTTCTTTCAACATGATGATGTCACATTGTTACCATGGCCACCAAGATCTACTGACTTATCCCCAATTGAGCACGTGTGGGATATGATGGGTAGGAGATTGCTCAATTTGCAACGTCCTCCTCAGACTCTAGAAGCACTTCGAGAGGAGTTGGTGGTTGCCTGGAATGAGATACCACAGGAGGACATTGACCACCTGATCAGAAGCATGCCTAGGCGCGTTGGAGAATGCGTAGCACATCAGGGTGCATCCACACATTATTAAAGGTCAAAGGGCTTTAAAGCAGTGCAATCATTTTGAAATTTTTATCATTTACTTATTATGCTTCATTAAGTACTTATACAAAATTTTATTAAAATAAAACCATTTAAACTGGGTGTTCGGATTTATATGTCACTTAGTGTATGAAGTAAGTTGTGAAATGACAAAATGTTTGTTTTCAGTAACACCAATCAGCACACCTGGATGCGAGCACCAGTTTGGAATATATCCAGATGGTCACGAATGTTCAACGCACTACATCAAATGCGCATATGGCGAACCTATTCCGCATGAGTGTGAACCAGGTTTAGTTTACGATGAGCGCATCCACGGTTGCAACTGGCCGGACTTACTGTTGGAGAAATGTAATCCAGAAGGTGAATATTAAAACGTTAAATACATTTTCGCTGAGTACGCGATGATAGCGCCACCTAGCGGATGTTGGGCAGGAGTATGTGGGTTGGTGGCGAAAATAATATACCCTATTTCACGGTAGAATGATAGCTGGTTATCTGGTAATATTTTGTTTTGGTTTTTGTACACTACAGATTCATTTTGTACTTGCTAAAGGCTCTTTTATTTAGAAAAGTTCATATGCATACAGCAAACAAAACGCTACAAACAATTTTTTGCTAGATTTACACCCGACTAACACAAAAATTGTCACTTGCTGATCAGCTGTTCGTCCCAGCAGACGTCAAAGCGTGATGGATTCTCGTAAAATAGGGTGTAGACAAGTGATTTGAGGTTAGGAACAACTGAGGGACCATGACATCGAAATATTTGCACATGTGCCATGGCTCAGTTGACCCCACATGACAGGTTTTACTTCATTCCTAACTGAATGTCAACATTCCATAGTCCATTTCAAAAAGAAAACTTCACATGAACGTACCTATGTTCTAAACATCTTAACTTTTGAGATATAGACATATTTCACTGTTTTCAATATTGTTCACCGCCTACGGCAATAGGATATTTGAAACTGTTTTGAGTAAGTCCAAGTAGTTGATATTTATTAAATTAGACCAAAGAAAAAATATTGCTATATCTTTTCAGACCTAAAAGACCTTAAAGCTTTAATTCAAAAAAATATTTTTCTCAGACACGAGAAAACGCTGTTTACCATGTCAGCCCACATTAATGTCCTCTGAGGAGATACCATTTATAAACAGCAGCTGACAGCAGCATAGCATACCCTCTAATTCTCTTAAACATATAAAAATGATTTCTACATGAAAAATATAGTAATTATCGTTATTGTATCGTCCGAGAATGCAAAAACACATCGATAAAGACCTCAGGAAACCTGTGGATTAAAGTGCTCAGGAGAATAAATATACGCAACACTGTGTATTGCTTTAAGTATTCCGTTTTGTTATGCAGATTTTATCGTCTCGTTTAAGTTGAATGTAACCTACGGCACCATCACCGTACATTGTAAGAAGAAATACAATATTAGATAAAATTATTCCGAGGCTATGATGCAAAAGCTTAGTTTTATATGACTTCTGAAAAGAAAGATTATGTAAGTTATTTTATTACCTATTCTTTCTTTTTTATGTCTATCATTATGTCAGATGCATTGTACTTACATAGAAGTCTTGATGTTCCTCAGCTCCGTGCAGTTGGGTTGAAAGCAAAAAATTCACCAACCATCAATGTATCAATTTTCGGCAGATTTGCGCTTTCTGCTGTTACGAATCCAACGTCCTTGATGGTTTTTTGCAATGAAATGAGAAAACGACAACTTGTTACGTTGATTTGTACTTTTAGAAATATTTAGAGAAGACAACGCTTACAATTTGTATTGCGTCACGTCATGGCCGATAGTCTTTTTACCGTTTTGAAAATAAAAAATATATTTTTGTAAATTGGACGATATATTTCTTTTTTCTAAGACAAATACTGTCAGAAATACTCATTGGTTCTATGAAATTAGATATGACAAGTAACCTATTGATTCAGTGGCCCTCACTTTGCCTCCGGCGAATGCCTAAGCTATTGGACTGGGTAGAGGTGGCTTTAACCTGATGCCATCCGAAAAATGTTTCCTCATACCAAAAAACCTAAAGAAATTTACTTACAAACTTTTATAAGCTTCTACGGATTTCAACATGGAATCTTTATCACGCGAAGGGTAATGGAAATTTAAATATCAGATCATCCAGAAGCCTCAGAACTTACACATTAGCGTTGAGCCATAATGATCGATTATTTATTGTTTTAAAAATCTATGGAATACAGATTTTCATGTACATATTGTTCGGCTCTTCGAAAAATGTTTTGAAGCTATGTTCAAACAGCAAACGTTATATTTCCAAAAAAGGCATTTCTAAGTTTTATGTTAATTTTTGGCGAATGAGACTGAGTTCATTCCGAAAACAACAAAATCGTAGTCAAGCTAGACAATAAGCATGATTAGTACAAGTGAATTTTTATTACAAATTAAATAAGTATTTGTACTTGGTTAAAACTAAAAAAAGTGAGATACAGCAGAGCATAAGTGCATAGTGAGGATTTGTGTGCTAATAATATGCGTTGATGATAATTCCATTGGTTTCTTGTCTCAAATACACTTACTTGAGATTCAAAGCTAGAAATTAGTTGCGCATCCACTTTTCCTCATTCATTTTGGAAATTGCATATGGAAATTTGCTGGATTTTAAAAATGAGAGAGATAAGAAAAGAAAATCCCTTGTTGGTAAAGGAACAGGTGAGAAAATATGCTACAGATAGACAATTTATGAAAGTGAAATGGTTATTACATTATTTTGTATTTTCAATCGCTTAAATTTTACAGAAATTTATTTTGCGATGTCAATAGAAAATACAATATACAATTGATATAAATTGCACACCATTTTTGTTACACGCATTTCAGTAGGTGGCGCCGTAGTAGTTGTTTAAAGCACATGCGTCCTGTTCATCATGCGCTACAAATATTCAAGATACAAATCAGTCAGTTACATATCGGCTGTACAAATCAGCGCCTAGATATGAGGCATTGGACAATGTTTGATGTGTGATGAGTCATTTCTAATTTTTCTGTGATGTAGCTTAATTGCACACAACAAAGGCGCGGGGGGCTCCGTTTTTGAAAAAACAAAAAAACAGGAAAAATCATAATTTATAACCTTAACCTGACTTCACAAAAGTTAACATATAAATAACCTGTCGCACACAGCTAATAGATATACTTCATTGGCAGCATATTCAGTAATAATTTTCTCCTCAGCAAATATCACTGATTGCATATGCAGACCAATACACATAATCATCCAGATGCGATCTTGCTATTCAACCAACTTTCTTTCTTTCACATCTCAGAGATAAGCTCCACTGACTACTCGGCTTCACAAGACATATACATGCTTTCTGCAACCAACAATGCGTGTAGTTGTCATTCCTCCATAGATGGGCGGTCACAGCGATCATAGCGGGCAAACGTGGAATGAACTATTTGCACCTAAAAAAACTACCTATCCTGCAAGATGACATTTTATAGTTTTTTTTTTCGTCTTATAGGTCTTTAACATAATAGCCGTGCGGTTTAGGCTTAAATGCCAAACATTTCAAAAAGCTCTTCTACACATAATATACATAATATACATATATAGCTAATACTTAGAACGAACAAAAGCAAAAGAAAGTGACTTGAGTGAGATGATGGCATCATTGATAATATTGTAGATATGACTGTCGAAGCTCACGGTTACGGCCAAATCACAGAATGTTTCATATGGACCAACTGTGATGTTATTCATTTGTAAAGATTTGTGTCTACGTTATTATTGATCTGACTCTGCGTTTTTTTTTTTTATTTTTTTAGCTGTTGTCGGCTTCAAGTGCCCAACCAAGGTTCCTGCTCACAGTCTGGCGGCCCGTTTCTGGCCTTACCCCCGTTTCGCAGTTCCTGGGGACTGCCACAGACTGATCACCTGCGTGAATGGCCACCCCCGTCTCATCTCTTGTGGAGAAGGAAAGGTCTTGGACGAATCAACACTTACCTGTGAGGAATCCGAATATGTACCACATTGCGCCAATAGAATTTAAGAAAAATTCTTGCATGGAGTCGCAAAGTGCAGAAAAAATACAAAATCAAATGTTTTCACAGAGGTGATATGATATTATTGGTATACAGGTTTTGCTGGCGTGTAATTTAGCCCACATCTACCATCAGCAAAAAAATTCCATAGTATTTTCCAGAATTTTGTAATGTGCTTCAAGAAGTAGGATCAGATCAACGATTGTAACTTTTAAAACTTATCATAATTGTGTTTTTCTGATTTCTAAGCTTTGAAAAATGGTGTGTTGGCAGTCATACTGTCAGTAAATATCTTCTATATCAGCATCTGTGGCTTCAGTTATTTGCTGTCATAGCGGGAATATGAAATAAAATCAATTTGTGATTTGAGCTATAGGTCTTTTCACGATTTTTGGCGGATCACGTTAGCACCATACTAATTACTTTCATATACGAGTATCCATCTCTCTCACACATACATGTACATTCGGCCCCTATGCGCGTACGTTTTTTAGCTTGGTGTCACCGCCAACGTATGTATCTTCCACATTTATCCTTGCCTCTGTCAATATGACAACTTGCTTGTCAAGAGCGTATGACTTGTGTTTACCCATGTTGATCTTGGATATAAAACATAGTAGTATCTGAAGATAGCTATAATGTCGACAGACTGTCTGTATTATAAATATTTTCAGAAAGTGAGTGAAGTTCTGTGTGAGTGCAAGAGCGAGTATGAGCTGCGTCCTAGATCAATTTAATTATTTTTTATAACATTGTGATGCACCCGGACCCGCCAAAAACCGTAAAAAGAACTATATTGGTTTTCATCGGTCAGCAGTATTGCAACTTCAATATATTAACAAACTATGTCTCGATTACGACTTTGCGAATCTAAACCTAAGTAAATTGCAAGAAACAACTCGTCAAAATGTGAACTGCTGATGTAGTTTAATCATCCCCATTTCTAATTTGTGCTACCTGTTTAGGCAACGTGGATGTTTTCCTGTATGGGTGTTGACAAATTATATATACGGTTTTCACAATTTATTAAAAATTACGTTTGTGCTCGTTAATATGTCAATGTCAAAAGCTTGCGTTTGCGTATAATTTTGGCCAAAATGAATAATATTTTCCTCTGTTCTACATCCTCCATAGTATTTGGAATTTCCCTCGATGTACTTCATTGAAAAAGTATTCATTTTGTTCACATTAGATAGCTTCCAAATAAAGCATGATTGACATATTACAACCGAGGATGATAGTCAAATTAATAGTAAAATAAATCTTGGGATTTCATTTTCAAATTCCTATTTTTATTGTTTGATGTAATGTGCAATTGTAAATGCGTACCTGTATTTGCGACTTGGATTTAATCGACATTTGAATAATATATCCTATTTTCTTAGTTCCTCATTATTGCTATGGTTCATTCATAAACACATTCTTTGGTAGATCATATTTTTCACGTACCTTCTGCGTACGTACTCTTTTCCATACATTTTTAGTTAAATTGTAAAAATGATCTTGTTGTACTAAATGTATAAATCTTTTGTAAATATCTTCAAGAAATACACATTTTGTTACATTTCAATTTGTATTACTATTGATTTTATACAATATTCCTATAGTTTTGTGGGTCCTTAAGCACTAAGTTCACAAAAAAAAATTTCAGGTCAAATTGGCAGACGCTTTATTACAGTTATACTTATTTAGTATCTAAGTGAATTTACGCTCAACACACAGCAGCACATTTTCAGCACACCAAACACAGGATCGGACTATGATTTTAACGCTGAGTATGGTAGCACTCACACTTGTGCACAGTCCAGCACTTCAATTGTTTAATTAATTTGGCCCTGTTTCTGGACACACATTTTGTGTCATAAAAGGGTTTTTAGCATAATGTTTTCGAAAAAGCTACGATGTTCGCATTTCTATAATTCGGAAGATACTGCTTTGATTTTAATTTAACGCAAAGCTTGTAGCGTGCCAATGATAAAAAACCTTCCTGGGTACTTAGTTTCGAAACATTTTACAATCTCAACAAACTTAATTTATAGATATTACCCGAGTTTTACAGCGTAGTACAAAAGATCATGGGGGTCACCTCAAAAGTCCAAAAATTAATTCTTTGGCGTTTTTATACTTTCTGATCACCTCAGGCAATAGGAAAAAGAATTTAGGTTGCTTAAATATTCGGAAATGGCCCATATTTGAACAAATTCTGTGTAAAGAAATCTGCAAAATCATTTCTCTCACATCTTGCGTGTGAATATAGACATTAATGTATGAAAGCACCTAGTTTATTTGACTCCACTTTTTATTCAGTTCCAATAACTACCTCCAAGTAATCAAGTAATCATTGGTCAGTTATTTATTCATGTTCAGGATAAGATTGTATAAATAAAACCCACCATAAAATAATTATGGGAGGGAATAGTGACATGTAGGACCATATTCAAAAAAGTTTTTATATTTGACATTGACACAATTAAGTCCGAATGATAAGAGAATTACATAGTAAGTACATCTTAATGTACGTTATACAAGATGTCCTCAAAGTTGGAATTTTCTTTACAAATCGTATAGGTCTGTCAAGAATAAGCAAGTTTTCCTACTGGCACATATTCCAAAATCTTAGGATAACCAAGATATTAAGTTCCAAAAAACTTGAAATGGATACTGTCTCTCTGCCTTTTACCTTCACCACCTCCTCCTCGAAAAGCTATCCCAACAAGGTGACGCGCGACGTGTAGGTTAACCTAGTGTATAAACAGGTCGCATTTAAAAAACCGAAATTGGCACGTCACTAGAACAGTAACGTAGTTATCGATTTGATGTTAGGTTACTGTGCCTGCATCTTCAATATCCTATTGACAGAACCAGCGCATAGATTTTTTTATTCATCTGAAGAAAAGCATCATAGACATGAAATATAAAGAAAATTTCATTTTAAAACTTTAACTTTGTTGTGTAATGTCTTAGTGTCTACTGTTTTTTATTCTATTTTGACTATTGCGTCTTCGACCTGTGCAAGTGCATGTGTATATCAGTACCAATTTGAATTTGAATTGTATGTGAGATGTATAGTCGACCTACTTGGCACAAAGTTTATTGGAAGGACTGCCACGTTGAATTTGCTCATGAATCAAAATAACAAACGCAACGGGTCTTAAACTCCTAATGCCGCTACTGGAATTTCCGTCAACCCGCCCCAAAATATACGCAGCACGCCTATGGCCTGCCTGAAGCTTTTGCCGCTCAGGCCAGTCAATTCTCTAATGTCTTCAGGTGGTGGGGCGATCGCAGCACAGGTGTGAGGAGGTAGATTCTAAGGCTAGTCGTGGACATAGTGCTCAACTGACTGGAACTTACCAGTATTTGTCTGATATATGCATAGTATTACCGGAATAAGAAGCTTCTTGATAATAGAGTGTCTTTCACTGATACCAGAGATGCATGACTCACAACCCTCTATACCCAACTCCCAGCCTCCAATATTCAACCACTACAGTGTTCTGAATACGCCTCTGAAACGTCTTAAAACGACGAGAATTTCATCATTTTCATTTTTTCCTAGTGACGCTTCACCACCACTGCATTGATTTTAAAACCGTACGAAGATTTTTTATGCTTGGCTAAATAGTATGTTTGTGCCAAAATTTTACCAAAATTCCACCGGTACGTTCCAAGTTATAGAGGATAGACAAACCGACTGACATGCCAACTAAAATGAGTGACATGGTCTTTAGTGATATACGAGTACCTATATTCGTCAAGTAAGACCCAGAAAACAATATTTTTTTAATTCGTGATTATTGAAATACTTTGTCACAAAAAATTAATTAAATCGGACCAATGTAAAGACTGCCAAGCTTTAAAAAATGCACTACTTCTGGATCTATGATAAGAATTATACAGGGTGGCGCATCGAAAACGAACGCATTTACTGGCAGCAAGGTTTTTTTTTTGGAAAAACGCTCAGACCCGTCGATTTTGTTTTCGAGGAGGACACAAGTTTGGCAAAAAATCACGTTAACACGTGCAGCCCCTGGACGGGGGTGACACCAACCCTAAAATCTTAAATGGAAAGGGGGGTCGAGATTGAAGATTTATTGATTTAAAGCTTAAAGTAGACTTTAATAGGTACATCAAATTAGTTTGTACTACTTTCAGAAGAAATTTGACTAAAAGAATTTACTTAATAAGTAAATGCTTTTCTTCACTAGGCCCATGGTCTGTTTATCATTTTGTTGAAAATAGCTGTTGGAGCGTTTTTTGTGGCAAAAAAGTTATTTCTTGAAAAAAGATAAGATAATAAAATATCTCGTACTTATTTTAAATAGGAATTTAGTACATAGTTTGCGATTGATTTGACCAAACTTTGTTGCTAAAATAACTTGTAACGCTTTATTACATAAATTAATCATGGTATATTCCACAGCAGAAAGAGTTGAAATTATCGAAATATTTTTTGGAAACAATTAGTGCGCTAATAGAACAGCAGAAATATTTAATGAGCGACATGAGAACAGTAACGCGCATCGAAAATATGTTCTTGAACTTGTAGCTAAATTTCGGGAAATTGGGTCAGTCGCCAATAAAAAACGCAACATTGAAAATCCCATAAGGAACGAAGCAATAGAAGTGGGGTTTTTAGGGCAAGTTTATGTAGATCCTACGTTAAGTACCCGCAAATTGGAGACTGTGTGTGGTGTTAGTCGACTCGACGTACTGTCCAACGGATTCTAGAGGCCCATAGTTTTCATCCGTATAAAATTCACCTGGTACAAGAACTTAATGAAGACGATTTTGATCGGTGATTACAATTTTTTGAAGATATGAGTGAACGAATTATAAACGATGAACATTTTCTATTCAACACTTGCTTTTCCGACTAATGTTCCTTTTTCTTAAATGGCGTAGTAAATCGTCATAACTGCCGATATTGGTCCGATTCTAATCCCAGAATTTATCATGAGGTTCATACACAGCAGCCACAAAAATTAAATGTTTGGGCTGGTATTTTTGGCGATCATTTAGTTGGTCCTTTTTTCTTACCTGGAAATTTGACCGGTGAAATGTATTTGGAATTACTGGAAGACGCCATAGATCCTGCATTAACAGCCATAATTGAAGATCAGAATGATCGGCGGTACATTGCGAATAGGTTAGTGTTCCAACAGGATGATGCCCCACCACATTACGCATTACGTGTTCGACAATATTTAGATCAGACGTTTCCAGATCGATGGATTGGTATAAGAGGTGCCATTGAATGGCCCCCAAGATCGCCAGATTTATCACCTTTGGATTTCTTTCTGTGGGGTCATTTAAAAAGCAAAATCTATGCTACTCAGTCAACACTATTAGAAGACCTGCGACAAAGAATTGTGAATGAGTGCCTTCAAATTACTCCTCAAATATTGCAAAATGTGCGACAACGTTTTGAGCAAAATCTTTATTATTGCATGGATAGACATGGTGGCCATTTTCAACATTTACTTGCCTAACGGGTCAGTTCATTCTTCATTTTTAAATTACTTTGCTGCCCAATGTATTGATCTCCACTAATGATGATGTATAAATAAAACTATTTAAGCTTTAAATCAATAAATCTTCAAAACTACTGAACTGAAGTACATTAATTTTATATCATTATAAAGGGAATTGAAAGACCTTGAAAATAAGGTATCACTCGACCCCCCTTTCCATTTAAGATTTTGGGGGTGGTGTCACCCCCGCTTAGGGGGCTGCACGTGCTAACGTGATTTTTCGCCAAACTTGTGTCCCCCTCGAAAACAAAATCAACAGGTCTGAGCGTTTTTCAAAAAATAACTGAGCTGCCAGTAAATGCGTCTGTTTCGTTGTCGATGCGCCACCCTGTATATCAAGGAATCAAATAGAAGCGCAACGAACGGCTCGCGAGCGCCTCACTTTGAACCAGAAACCCACATTTATTGCGCATTGAAAAAAATCATAGGTGAGCATAGGCGCCCTCGTTGCCCGTTTCAAAACTCGACGTTTGATATTATGTAAAGTCAAAGATCTATAGGGTGATAACATCGAACTTTGCTTTGGGATATGCAACCAATGGAAACTAACATATATTCGGCAAGCGAGCAGCTCACTCCATTTTATGCTGTATTAAGAGATTTCATAGGTGAGAATGGGTGCCCTTGATGCCCGTTTCAAAACTCGACGTTGTAACTAGATATTGTGTAAATTCAAAAATCTATAGGGCGATAAGGTGGTTGCTTTGGGATATGCAGCCCATGGAAACTGGCATATATTCAGCGCTTCGCGTATTCATCCGCTGTTCTGACTCAAAAACATCCTGTATGTTACATATTTTACATATTACAGCAGGGGAACCCAAGAGGCTGAATGGGTTACTACCAAGTAACTACTTGAGCGTCGTAGGACCTATTGGGTGTTGAAGAAAAAAAGGATTCTGGATTTTAGTGGTGGAGTTGAGCGTCTACAAATTGTTAAAACTATTCGAGCGCGTCTATTCCCCTCGTGTTACGGATATTGGAAGTACAATAACCTACAGGTTTCTACAGGGTGGGCCATTAATAATGGACGCCCGGCGTACCTCATCATCCAGTCTAGG